GTCAACTGCTACCACTAAGAAAATTAAATGCTCGTAAAGAACAGTAAGGTAGATGGTTAAGAACTTGTGATTAGATACAAATGAAGATTTTTTAAGCATTTAGCTCCATGTCAGCACCACTCAAGCAGTACAGTAGTTTATTGTTTGCTCTATACTGTCTTAATGTAGGGGTGATTAGAAGCATAAGCCTGACCAATTCAGCCTTAGGACACAGAAGCAGCTAAGTAAAAAACTCATTGCTTTGGTAGGATCAACAAATATATCTATTATCCCATCCTGCCCTGCCTTCTTGATTGCAGAAAAGCTCAACAGTGTCACCCCTGGGTTGACTAAAGCTGTGAATGAAACAGGGGACTTCAATCCATTGCTTCTTCAGGCTCGTGTTTCAGTGAGTACAGAAAATAGCGCTATGCTGGATGCTGGCCAAAAAACATGCTGCACCCAGTTGCCTTCATTTCATCTGCTACTAAACCATCCTGCAGAGATATTTTTCAGACTGTCTGAAAGCAGGCCTCACTCAGTTTTCCAGCCTACCCAGAAGTGCTTACTCCAGAAGGAAGAACAATGCAGTCTTTAATAGGCTTGCACACATGTATCCCTATCGTACCTCCTGCTCCCACTGAGATGTCGTGTGCCTCAATATCAGTGCAAAATGCAGTTTCTCTTAAAAAAGGCTCCAGATGTAACCAAAAACTCAGCTGGTGACCAGGTTAAGACAATGCAGTGGTTCAGAGTCCTACAGCACATCCTCTTCTGGAGCTACCAGTCAAGAGAATTTTATAGAATCACAGAATGGTTTGGGCTGGTAGGGACCTCAAAGCTCACCCAGTCCAACCCCTGCCATGGGCAGGGACACCTCCACCAGACCAGGTTGCCCCAAGCCCTGTCCAACCTGGCCTTGAACACTTCCAGGGAGGGGGGAGGGGGCATCCACAGCTTCCTGGGGCAACCTGTGCCAGTGCCTCACCACCCTCAGAGTGAAGAATTTCTTCCTAATATCCAGTCTAAATCTACTCCCTTCCAGTTTAAAGCCATTACCCCTCATTCTATCACTACTTGCCCTTCAGGAACTGGAAGACTGCTGTAAGGTCTCCCCAGAGCCTTTTCCTCTGCAGGCTGAATAACCTTAACTCTCTCTGTCGGTCCTCATAGTGGAGGTGCTCCAGCCCTCTGACCATCTTCATGGCCCTCCTCTGGACTTGCTCCAACAGGTCCATGACCTTCTTTTGTTGAGGACTCCAGAAATGGACGCAGTACCGCAGTTGGGGTCTCATGAGAGCAGAGTAGAGGGACAGAATCACCTCCTTGACCTGCTGCTCATGCTTCTTTCGATACAGCCCAGGATGCAGTTCGTCTTCTGGGCTGCAAGTGCACATTGCGAGCTCACGTTGAGCTTCTCATCAGGCAGCATCCCCAAGCCTTTCTTCTCTGGGCTGTTCTTAATTTATTCTCTGCCCAGCCTGTATTTGTGCTTGAGATTGTCCCGACCCAAGAACCTTGCACTTGGCCTTGTTGAACTTCACAGAGTTTGCATGGGCCCACCTCTCAAGGTCCCTCTAGATGGCACCCCTTCCTTCCAACGGGTCAACCACATGGCATACCTTGGTGTTGTCAGCAAACTTGCTGAGGGTGTACTCAATGCTACTGTCCACGTCACCAAAAGTGTTCAACAGCACCAGTCCCAATATCAAACCCTGTGGAACACCACTCGTCACTCATCTTCACTCGGACATCGAGCCATTGACCGCAACCCTTGGAATGCAATCATCCATCCAATTCCTTATCCACCAAGTGGCCCATTCATTGAATCCATGTGTCATCAATGTAGAGGCCAGGATGCTGTGCAGGACAGTGTCAAATGCTTTGCACAAGTCCAAGTAAATTATGTCAGTTGCTCTTCCCTTATCCACCAATACTGTAATGCCATTGTAATAGGCTGCCAAATTTGCCCATGGTGGAGCCATATTGGTTGCTATCGATCACCTCCTCATTTTCCAAGTACCTTAGCAGAGCCTTCAGGAGGATCTGCTCCATGATCTTGCCAGGCACAGAGGTAAGACTGACTATCGTGTAGTTCCCTGGGTCTTCCTTTCTTCCCTTGTTGAAAATGAGGGTTTAGTTTCCCCTTTTCCAGGCAGTGGGAACTCCACTGAAGTGTCATGACTTTTCAAATACGATGAAAAGTGGTTTTCCAACTTTTTCTGCCAGTTCCCTCAGGACCCGTGAATGGATTTTATCAGGTCCCATGGACTTGGGCACCTTCAGGTTTTTTAGATGGTCTTGAACCTGCTCTTCTCTTACAGTGGCTTGATCTTCCATCTCTCAGTCCCTGCCTTTGCCTTCTGTGACTTTGGCAGTGTGGCTAGAGCCCTTGCCAGTGAAGACTGACGCAATAAAGTTGTTGAGTACCTCAGCCTTCCCCATATCCCACATGAATTTTTACTCGCAGTTTAATTTTACAGAAGAAATTATTAGCTAATCATAAAGAATAAAATAAAGGCTTGAGATCACATTGTTAAAAGAACGCATGAATGCTTCAGAGGAACAAAACTAGCATGCATCCCAAGTCCTCTCAGAACTGATTATTACCAGAATGCAGTAAACAGCTCACATGACATGGCCAAAAGGGGACTCACTACAATATTTTCACAATTGTCAGCAGCACTCTGCTCTGACATTAAAAAAAAAAAAAATCATCCTGACCTGCCACTCCCACCTTCTAGACAAGCATGGGTACCTGGAACCATACAGACTGTCTCATCAGTCTTATTTTAGAACATGAAGCAGCCATGAACAGAGTCTCTTCTCTTATATCTAGAAGACAAGTATATTACATAAAAAAATACTTACTTGGGAAAGGAATAAAGCACCACAGCAGTGCTAAACTGTCAGAGAAATAAAGTGGGCAACCTCATCGAGCAAATAAGTAATTGTGATTTAATTTCTAGCAAGAAGGTGGAAACTGTGCTGGAGTCCCTTTCTCTAGAACAGCATTACAAAGACTAGAGTAGAATATACATTGAGTTAGTCATACTTCTCTAGAAGCTTTCAAAAAAAAGGGCCTACCTCTGTTATCTGAATCTCAGATAAAGGTTTCTGAAGTCTGAGAAAGACTGATCATTTGAAAAGCTTCTCAGGACACACATGCGGTCTCATTGTTCACAGCCTAGAATGAAAAAAAAGGCTCTTGGGAGCCTCTGCACACTGCCTCAAAATCTTCATTTCCAAGTTTTCTCCCCCATGTCAACAGCTACGAACTCTGCCATTCTGAACATTTCCAGCTAGAAAAACTGCCTTTTTTACAACAGGGTTAAAAGTGGCAAAACCAAAGAGCATCAGAACAAGAGACACAGATGAAGAATGAGCCATATAGCATGACAAGGGAAGTTCAAATCCTTGGGACAAGGACCACCACTTAATTGTGGGGGAAGGTGGCAGAAAGTACTGAGCTCTGGAAATGCCTCAGGCTCCCTAGGGAAGCAGTATGGCTCCTACTTAAGCTCTCTTTCCTGGGAAGCTCTTAATTTATGTTTACACTGAAATAAATGGAACAAAACAGTTTATTTGTGGGGGAGCATCTGAGAGGGTGGTTAGTGCAGCCCTGGGGAGGCAGCAGGAAGTGGGATAACCTCAGAGCCAGGCCCAGCAGAAAGTACATGAGGAACATTAGTTTCCACATACAGAGCTCAGAGGAATCTAGAAACACAACTGAGGGAAGAAAAGGGAGAATCAAAAAAAGAGGCAGTTAAAGTTTTTTTTTATATATATCTTTTTATTTAATCCAGTTGTTGATATTCCTGAGTAGCTGATAAACTGCTACCTCACTAAAACTGCTATCTAACTCATAAATGCCCATGTATGTCAAGGTTCTCCAACCTTGGAACAAAGGCATCAGAATCAGTCAGGAGGAGTAAGGCCAAAGAGGTAGCTAGTTTGGCAGATAACTAAACAACATATCAGCCATGGCTCCTCCTTGATTCATGACTGTCTCATCATCCTTGAATATCTAAGATGGCAGCATTTATGTTAGTGTTGAAAGCTGCAGAGTTGTCAACACCCAAATGCAATGCAAGGACCACACAAACGGACTTACCTGTCACAGCTAGTTTAAATAGAAGTCCCAACACCTAAACACAGGACAGCTTAAGCCAAGCTTGGTCTTTGGTTTAAGCACTGACTGAGATTAATTCTAGAACCATTTCCCCTGTCCCAAGACTCCATCTCTGTGCGTGTATCCACATGAGTGAAAGGTGGCTAAGAGCAGGAGGAGGCCTCTTTAGGGAAGGTTGGGAAGCCGCCACTGGAAAGCAAGAGAAGGCACACTGTGGTACCAGCCGCTGCTTTCTGGACCTTGTCCCAGCATCTGCTGCCAGCGAGTTCTCAAATCCCTCTGCCAGCACACAGTACTGCATCCAGCTTCTGTCACAGATAGGCTCTGACGCCACCATGTGGTACTCTCACACAGAAGCATCACCACCACTGTCACCCCAGGCACTGCACTACACATTCCTCCCTAGTCCTCAGATGCATGTAGGACAATAATTCAAAACTACATTGGGTACATGGCCCAATAGAAAACATTAAATGCTCTAAAGTGATGTTTAATCATCCACAGCCATCCTTTGCAAGGGCACTAGTGGGTCAGTAACTTCAACTTTCCAGCACTTGCCCAACTCCCTTTCAAGTCCCATCATCTAGCATGAGATTCTGATGAACGATACTGGCACAGGGACAACTGGGATTCAATGTCCCCTGCCCTCACAGAGGCCTACACTGAGGAAAAAAAAAAAGCAGTATCTGGCTTTCTTGCAACAGGGAATGCACGTTTCTCTGTAGCATCAGAAAGCCACAAGTTTCAAACAGTACACAAGAGCCAATCAACAAAGATGCCCCCAGTGCCTTACCAAAGCAGCAGCCGCGATGTGAAAGAAAAGTTTTACAAGCTGTGGCAATGGCCAGCTCAGCAGAAACTACAGTCTTGATAATCAGGTCCTCCACGTTGGCCATCAGTGCTGAAGGAGGGGAGGAGGAAAAAAAAACAAGGGAAAAAGTAGATTGTGAAGTAGCACACGATATCCAGAAAAACATGACAATATGGACATGGACAGATACCTTTGTGAATCAAAGCATGTGAGAGCTTATGGATGACAAAGCAACAATGTTTGGAAATCCATGCAAGCGTAAATATATAGATACGTGCGTAAGTATCCTAGTGCAAAAAATACAAATGAGAATGATAAAAGTGAGCGGATGTATAGTGCAAGAAAGCAGAAACATGTGGCAAGCACATCAGCACAAGTCAGCTGGAGTCTGATCACCACCCATTCAGAGCATTAGGAAGGATTAAACAAGAGTGGGTTAGTGAGATAAGCCCTTAAACTACAGAGAATAAACCATAGCCACCATGCAAGCATAAATATATAGATAGGTGCGTAAGTATCCTAGTGCAAAAATACAAATGAGAATGATAAAAGTGAGCGGATGTATAGTGCAAGAAAGCAGAAACATGTGGCAAGCACATCAGCACAAGTCAGCTGGAGTCTGATCACCACCCATTCAGAGCATTAGGAAGGATTAAACAAGAGTGGGTTAGTGAGATAAGCCCTTAAACTACAGAGAATAAACCATAGCCACTGAGATACAAAAACTTTTCTTGTGGTTTCTTAAGAGATAACTGTTCGGTGATGTTGCACCTTCCTCTAAAGCAGCTGTTCCGGTATCATGATTCGCAAATCATTTCAAAATGATATGACTAGTGACAGCTCCCAGTCCTTCTGACCTACAGATAATCTGCAGTTTCAGTAAGGAAGCTCTCTCCAGCTCTTGTATGAGCCTGTGAACAGAGCTCAAGAGCAGGAATCTGAGCTGACAGAGGGAGCAAATGGCAAGAGAAGACACATGGTAGATGTAGACCTGGATTTTACCTGGGCTCGGGATGAGTCATGCAATAGAAGGAACACCACACTTAGTTTCTGTTATCAAGGACAAACAACAGAGCAGTGAGAGGAGAAGAGAATGAACTAGGAATGGAGTCCTGGTCTGCAAAGTTAGTAGGGATGATAGGGCAGCCTTTGCCACCCCTCAAAGGGAGCACAAGAAAACACACAAGACCTCCAGCAAACGCACACAGACAGTTGCTAACCCCTGTCCCAAAGAACAGCTAGTACAAACCACCCGGCAAGAGTTCGACTTAGGCCTACAATTACTACTTCTCATGTTCAGATGACGACATGCATGGACCTGAACAATTACAGAGGAGCACGCAAGCAAATTCAGATGTGAACTTCTGTGCCAGAAGACGACAAAGTGGAAGCAACACAGCATGGGAATGTCTGAAGTGCACATAAACATCCCGGAGCACAAAAACGTTGCCAGCCCAGCCAAGGCCAGCAGTTTTCAGCCAGCATTCTGCCTCCCTATGACCAGAACCAGATGCATCAGAGAAAGGTGCAAGAAGCCTTGTAATGGATAGTTAGAGAAACCTGCTTGCATTGCTTAGCAGATTACTTAATTATTGAGTGCAGGTTTTATACTTTAGGTTGGGGTGAGGTGTGGAAATGTGTCAATACAAATAACTGTGTGTACACAGCTAACTGAAAACATGGTGCAAGTGTTGGACAGCCATGCACACATATGATAGGGGAAAAGTCTACTTCCATCTGAAAGCCAGATTCAAACCCCTTCCTCCAACATCTAAGTGTTCCCTGGCAGCATTTGCAATATGGGCATAGCTGCTATCAGTAGTGTTACTGATGCCTCAGTATCACAGGTAATTTATCCCTTAAAGGATATACCTGGATTCTGCTCTGTAGATGCATTTACTCCCAGCAGACCTGGCAAAGGTGTGGAAGAGGGAGCTATTTTATATGAAACACAGACTGAAATGAAAACACCCAGCAAAAACCTGAGCCATGGAAAGATGACACCACATCCAAGAGTCATTCAAACTGGCACAGTTCTCCAGAGGTTGGTCACTCATCAGACTGAACAGGCCATGGGAGCAGTAGAGGGAGGGAAGCTTTTAGAAGGAATAGAATGACCTTAAGAAATGGGAAATGTAGGTAAAATATTAAGAAACACACCCTGAGAAAGTCTCAGAATATTATTTGCAAAAGGAAGGGGTAGGGCTCATCTCTGGGGATAGGACTCATCTTTGGGGATAGAGAATAAATGCACAGCTCTAGCAAGTAAGCTGTAAGGAACAACGCTTCCCTCCACCCTGCTCTGGTGCTAAATGGGACTCACTGGGGCTCTTCCCTGGCTTCTTAGGATTCGCACTAGTGAGATGAAGATCCAGCAGAGGAATAAAAGAACAAGATCTGTACTGACCTGCGGTGTCTCTCCCCTCTTGTTTTAAGTACCTCAGCATTGCACTCATGCTCCACTTGTTTCCATAATCCTCTACTTCAGGATCATCACAGCTGAAAATAAATGAAAGAAGCAAGTTGACACCTCTGGCCTACCTCTATGGACTTGCACCAGCCTTAGTACAACTTAGGTAAGCCGACTCTGCCTCTGGAGACCAAGTGCCATTTTCCAGCCAAGTACCTGACATAATCTCCGCTCTTCTTGTTGACACTGTAGTTGGTCAGATGCATGAACTGGTTTTTAATGTTCTTGGATGTCTGGTCATACCTGACTGTTGCAAACCTGTAAAGAGGGATAAAGATTCACAGTACTTCTTGAACAAGTGGCGTGTTTGCTAAATATGACCTACTACCTAGACCACTCCAACAACAGGAGCTAGGGCGAGAATGCACATAATGAGACTTCATCAAATGCAACCTCTCCTCAAACAATACAGTTCATTCTCAAGGGTCACATTCTCCTGGGAGTTTTCAGTCTAACAGCACACACATCGTGCTAGGCACGTTTTTTCTCAACTGCTTATATTTGTGGTCCTCGGGCGGTCTGGGTAAACAGGCCACTTTGCTTTAGACAGTCACAGTCCCCTCAGTTTCTCAACAGGATTTACCACAAATACGTAAGGCCCACTGGTCCTGAGAAATGCTCCTGAAATGGTCCTGAGAAGACTTCAGAGAAATCATACTACATAGGCGTACCACAGTCGATACCTTCTGAAGTCCCACACAGCACAGTTCAGTTCTTGTGTACTCCAAGGATGCCATAGGAAAGACTGAGAGTGCGAACAGATTTCTACCAACTACACAGCCTACAACTGCCAATCCTCTTCAGAAGCATGCAGGAAACCAGATACAACCTGCAGGCCAGACCAATTTGTCAAACAAGGCAGCATCTGCTCAGGGTGCAGTCATTCTCAGGGACTATACAGCCCTTTCATATCTCAAAGATGTCACCTAGCTGTGTACAAGGAAAGGGACTGTAGGGGAAGATTGCAATCAGGAATAAGACACTGCTACAAGCCTATCTAGTCTGCATATGGACCCTATTACAGCCAACAATACTACAGTTTAACCAGCCTGTTTATCATGGAAACAGTGGCAACCTCTTCATTAAAAGGCATTACCTTACTGTAACCAAGTACCCCATCACCACTCACAGAATCACAGAATCGCTCGGTT